ATTTTCGCTTTGTAATATTACGATACTCTATGTATACTACAAACTATGAAATAATGATACAATTAGGATAATTAAACTACGAAATCCGACTCTGGTTACGTCGTGTTTTGATATGACGTTTGTATTATGACAGATGCGATACTTTTACTTGTATGAAAAAGTTATGAGTAAAATATTAAGATGAGCCTATCCTTCCTTTGGAAATCATTGCACCACAGTCACTCGCAGAACAAATAACCATTTTGGAAAACAATTACTTACTGATTAAACAGAAAATACTCGAAAAAAATACAAAATATCTAGGAGGTCATTTCTTGCGTGCCGACTTGTACCGAACTGTCATTCAAAATCGGTTACAGTCATGAGATTTGCTATCCTTTTATATTTTGCTATATTGCCATAACGAATTTTCTTCTCACTTGCAAACTATGTTTGTCTAAAAAAACAGATGTGAGTTTATATACATGTTCGGTTCGTGCACGCGCTGCGTCCACACTGATAAAATGCTCCTTTCATCAGTGTGTACGCAAATTCAGATTATAATTTACAATGCATATTTTAAAGTAAGATAATCCTTTTGGTGAGATTATACAAATGTAGGTAGTTAACGTTTTTGAAGAAGTTTGTTAGTATTGAAACAACGTTTTTTCTTTGAGTGAAAGCCATGTAGCCAATGCAACAAACATATACAAAAAAAAGTTGACTGACAGCTAGTGGTTCCGGTGTTTCCCTCACAAAATCTAAATTTACCACAAAACCCAAGAGTATTTTTAAAATTTGCACGAAATTATCATTAAAAACTTTACAAGTTTTAAAGTGTTATGTTTATCATTTAAAATCGAAAAATAAACACCTACGATTTTAATAGGCCTTAATCGAATTTAATAAGAGGATATGGTTTTACCAGAAGTGACTTATTAAAAATAATATCATCTGTCACCTAAATTTTGCGTATGAATGTTTTGTTATTCTTAAGTTCACACTAAGGCCCGGTTTTCACCAAAGCAGTGAAGAGAGGAGACGTGTTTGAAAAAAACAATCCAATCCGATTTCGTTATTTCCACATCTCTTCTCCCCTTAGTTTCGGTTGAAATAGATCAAGCGGAGAGGAGAAACTTTGTGCAGCGAGCGAGCAAGCGGCGCGGCAGAGCGGAGAAGTGTGTAGGCGGGCGGCCGGGCAGCGCACGCGCTCGTGCACACCGCGGCCTTCTCCCCGCGCCTCGTACACCCGAAAGCGCCATACCAAAGATGTTTTATAGGTCCAGATACCGTGTACGCGCACCTAAAACGCTTACTTTTAAAAGGCGCCAATATTGGTGTATTCGTGCGCGTGCGACCGTTCCGCCATTACGCCATCGACGTTCACTGCGAACATACGCCACGCACCGGTGTTTTTAATTTCGCAAAATGACTGTTTGTGCTGTGAAATCATGTAAAAATTACTCTTGGAAAAAACGACAAGGATAAGAATATTACTTTTCATGACTAAGTATACAATTTTGTAGTGTATTTCTTTACAAAACATACGAAAGCTAAATGTCAATATAAGTAATAATACTGCGCAACAATATTTGAGTGTTGCTTAGCCTATGAAATGTTTTTACCATTTTTTTATATCATGATATACCGGAAAGGTTATCTGTATAGGGGTTTTAAGCGGTCTTATTTTACAGGTTTTAACCAACCTATAGAGTTAAACCATTTTAAGGCTTAGGGTTGAATTACATCTGGCAGCACGGAATCGCACTTCCCTGTGCTTTTATCCTTTTTCGTCACTCAGAACTGTTATTTACTAGAGCGAGGAAGAGAGATACATAAATATCTACTGCTTTTTTATTTATTTTTAAATGTTACATTACTTATAGGTTTTATTACTTATCTTCGATATTTTAGTGCAATGTTGTACCTACATAAAATCATAATATACCATATCCCCATACACACACGCAAACAAATGCACATATTTTGTACTCGTAGAATTAATAAGTACGTCAATATGAATGAAATATCAAATCTCCCACATTTTTGGGTAATCGTTTCACTGTTATGACCGATGTCAGGCTTATCAATGCAGGCATGGTATGTACCATGAAGGTTAGAGAACAGGAGAACGATCGCCGTAGAAAATAGTGTCCCAGAAATATGGACACCATAAGTAAGGCGCCGCGATCGCTAAGTTCGGTCAATGAGTCATTTTCAGTCTATTTTTCCGATCAGATGCTAAACCACTTACACATCCACGCACAATAAAGTATTTCTCCATTTTTAATGTTTCTTTTTGTCAAAAATTACGGAGCATGAAAATTTTCTTCAATGCCGCGGAGAAAATTTTTACATTATTCAACTAACTTCATCTACTTATTCTCATAAACAGCTAACTTCGCAGTTACTACTCAGCGACGTCAGCGTCGCTATAAATTCTACAATTTTTAAGGACAGGCAAGCTATGCTCTCTATCATGGTACTAGAGTATAGAGGTAAAGAGGACAATCTCTCATAGAAGAGTTGGAATAGTGTCCATCTGTAAGCAGTAAATAACAGTTCAAAAACTCAACAGCGCTGGACTAGCTACAGGGTATGAAATGAACTTAGCGGTTGTCGACGGTATGAAGTGTGCTGCTAAACTGCCCAGTAGTTCTAAAATATTTTTATTTAGTAAATATAACCTCGAAGCAGTCGTCTATCCTACTAGTTTTTTTCGGTGCGTTCTTTCAAATTTAACCCGTAGAGTGGCGCCACCCCTATTTAACGGTTTTCTACGGACACTTTTTAACACAAAGTCTGTACTCCTTACCTCTACACTCCATAGTACGTTGTAGGATATGCGCGTCACGTGATACTCACGCAATATGAATCAGACTGGCGTCATTATGAACGGTGCGGTGTTAGCAGCTCGGTATCTGGACCTATAAAACGTCTTTGCGTCATACTATTGACAGGCTTTGAATGCAAGCGTGCGCCGTCCGCATTTTTAGGGTTCCGTAGTCAACTAGGAACCCTTATAGTTTCGCCATGTCTGTCTGTCTGTCCGTCCTCGCTTAATCTCTGTGACCGTTAGCACTAGAAAGCTGAAATTTTGTACCAATATGTGTATCAATCACGCCGACAAAGTGGTAAAATAAAAATTGGAAAAAAATGTTTTATTAGGGTATGTGATGTAAAGTGGGAAGTGATTTTTATTTTAATTTCAACCCTAACTTGTGATATATTGTTGGAAAGGTATTTAAAAATGAATAGGGGTTTCCTAGAATCATTTTTTGATAATGTCAATAATTTGGGAAATAATCGCTCCAAAAGTAAAAAACAATGTGTCCCCCCCCCTCTAACTTTTAAACCATAAGTTTAGAAAATATGAAAAAAATCTGAAAAGTAGAACTTTATAAGGACTTTCTAGGAAAATCATTTTGAACTTGGATGGAAACAACAGTACCCACTACCGGGAGCAGTTGCAGGAGCGCGGAGCGCTGCTGGAGCGCGAACATAATGGATACCCACCTTTAAACTCATAAGTGGGAACACTTATTGTGACGGACGGGAAACTACGGAACCCTACACTGAGCGTGGCCCGACACGCTCTTGGCCGCTTTTTCATATTTTCAGTTTGCAAAAAACTTTCATCATCACATTCTTGAATCAGTGTGGCATATTCGCCACGACTGTGACATTTTATATGGTTTCTGATCCAGAATCTATGATGCCGTCGATAATTTAAATATTGAAGAATTAATTGTTTTTTCAATCTCGAATTCATCTTCCTCAAGCAAATTCCGATACAACTTTTGTAACGACATATCTTCCTTTCATAAACAGAACTTGATTGGTTTCGATCCCTCACAGCTCACAACTCTGCAACACAAAGTTCACATCTCCTCTCCGCTTTGGTGGAAATAATCTGCCAACTTTTGCAGCACATTTCCTCTCGTCTCCTCTCCTTTCTGCTTTGGTGGACACCGGGCCAAATTTAGGTAGATAAGCGAGGAATAAATTTCATTATTATTTAAAGAAACGACTATTACTAGATTATTAGCTGTAATTCTAAATCATTCTGAGAAGTGATAATTACAAATACATTTTCCTAGACAAACAAAATTTTGAACCTCGGAAAAACTATTGTTATTCCATATAGCCCTATTTACACAATTCTAGGATCCGATAGGTGGAGCTCTAATCAAGTAATAAGCACCTACAAATTTTATGTTCCACTCATTAATGGCCAAAACAATCTGTACCTGATAGGTGGCGCTGTGGTCGAATTTTATATTTAAACTTTAAAAAGTCCAGGGTGAAACCAGTCGTTTCGTACTGGAAAAGGCAGAACGAATTCTGCTAGTTATACTTTATGACTCTAGCGATTGGCCCCGTCTACGCACTGGTGATTTCTGGATCTCGACAACAGTGTCACGTACCAGGTCCAAATGTGAATCTAAGCCATCTAGGGACCCATCCAAACACTCACAAAAAATTGTTTTGGCGAGACTAACGGCAGGAGTTGGTTTTTAGAGATTATTGGCCATCATCCTTTGGTAAAAAAAAATGTGGACTGGTTTTATTTTACAACTATGGAACATTGTTTCAGATAAATAGCGGACAAATCAGATATTGTTAACTACAGTTATATTTTACAAACTTGAATAACCTAACATATATGTAGCCGTTAATAATAGATATTTACAAACAAACTAAGCGTCTTTAGTCTTTACCCATTCTTTAGCTATAATCACAAACAATGTTGCTATTTATTAATCTTTTTTATTACATATTATTTAATTAGGTAGAAGTAAGTTACCACCTAATAAGTCAATGTATAAAAATGTGGTTACAATTGTGAAATACCCCTTAAATGTGGTAAGCGAACATAGAGTGTACTTTTTCTAACAAATAAATACTTATATAAAAATAAACAAAACTTATCACTGAATTATTTTATGTACTGCACAGTCACGGCAACATTTGATATAATATGTGCAACTATTTAAGTATATTCCCAAAACTAATCAGTCTTACATTTTATTAAGAAGAAGTATACTTCCAGGTAAACTAAATGGTCCAAGTCGAGATTTAACATCAACGGCTCTCACTGCAAAATAATACTTATATCCCGCCATAAATTGAGTAAGTGTGCATGCCATGGGTAAAGGTAAAGCTTTTACGTCACCAATTTTCTTCCATAATGCAGTACTAGGCGGTGAAGTTGTTTCTTGATATGCATACAATTGATAACTTGCTATCTCCTCATAACTATCATCTTGATAGCCATCTATTTTCCACGAAATAACAATTCCGTTTTCCACTTTTGATAGTTTCAAGTCCGGCGGTGGTGGCAAAGCCTTCCAATTAGGAGGTTGATATTGTTTCATAGCATCGGGAAGGGGTGCTGGGTGTCTAGACTGCACTCTGTTCATTCGTATTGTATTTGATTGTATTTTACCCAAACTATTTGTAGGAGGAACTCTTTGCCTTGGACCTGTAATAAAAATTTCGAAATCAATAAACAATTAAGCTATTTGCTACTTGTACTTTAAAATGAATGAAATACAAACCTGAATTAGGTGGTACAGTTTTTAACATAATTGTCTGACCTGGTCTGACATTCTGTGCTTGTGGACCACTGATAGGAATATAAACTTTCCGAGGACTGCTCATAATTGGCCCAAATTGTGGACGTTGAGGTGGCATTAGATTTTGTGGTGGTACTAATCTAACAGGTGGAGCAGGAGAGCTCCTTGAAGCCATCTTTGTAGGGGGTTCATCATCAGTTAAATCTACAGTTACCGATAGCTGCCTAGGTCTTTTTTCAGGTTTCTGGGTTGGTGGGGAGTTGCTTACACTTTTTGGTAATGTATTGTTTGTCTGTTGCGGTTTCCCAGGAGTAGTGGTGTTTGTTTGTGTTATAGTGTTTGATTTAGTTGCTGTATTGTTTGCAGCTGGTACTAATCTTGGAACAGGAATTTGTTGACTTGTATTCTTTTGAGATTTCTGAAGTGTATTGCGAGTTAATTTTTCTGTAGCGATATAACAATTTGATGTAGAATTCGAATTTGTTCCTTGTATGCCTTTTCTTTTGCCGATGGGTTTATCAGTCATCAATACTTGCATACCAACAGATCTTGTTATTTTTAGAGGTGTTATTGGATACCCTGGTGCCTTTTTTTGTTCTTCTTGTATTGATTTTAAAACCACTTGCAGATCTCTATTTTGCTTAGCCAACATCATAGCTTTCTTCTTATATTCTTCAACAGTAAGTGTCATAGTTTTAAGCTGGGTCTTAATATCTCCTAAACTACTTCTATCTACAACACTTTCAACAATTTTTAGAATACAAAATTCCTCCAAGTCTTCTCTGGTCATATCAGCTAAGTTTTTTTTGCAAGTTTTAAGAAAATTGCATGGCAATAGTGATCTCATATTCAAATTTTCATTTAAATCTTTGTTTTTATTGCACATATTATTTTTTTCCAAATTTTGTACGGTTTTCTCAGTTGCTGGAAAATAGATAGAAAAAAAAGTTAAAAAATGACAACATTTGCGACGGCAATAAAATGAGTACTTAGTTATAACAAAAACATGATGTAAAAGCAAAAACATAAAACATACCTGATTCATTTTTCATGTCTGTTGCAACATTTTCATTTGGACATATATTTTCATTACACACACTTTTATCATTTTGCTCCAATATTTTCCCTGTGTGAGAATTAATACTAACAGAATCTTTTTTAGAGCATATATCTTCATCTATTAACATAATATCATCATCATCTTCAACACTTATACACTGCTTGTTATTGTTATTAGGTTTTGGAATACTCTGTGATACCTCAGGTTGCTCATCTTCATCATCAGAAAGTATATCTAAAGTATTGGATAACTTGCATATCAGTGATGATTTTTTCTTCTCTTCTGTCTTTTTTTCATCTATTTTCTTGTCGCCTTCCACCACATTATTTTTCTTTAACTCATCTACATTTTCTTGAACTCCTATTTTCTCAATTGATTGAGTTTCTGATTGATGAACATTATTTAAATCAACGTTATTTACTGGCACAATGCGTGGTTGTTCCACATCCAGATGTGCTTCAGCAACATTAACAGCGTCATTACAATTTTTAGTACAAGCAGTCTTTAAATTCTTTTCACTAATAATTCCCGTAGTGAACTTTGAATGTACTTCATTATTTTCAGATAATGCTACGATATCTTTGGTAGTAAGTGTTTGTTCCGCAGTAGAATCGCAATCCTTAGTATTAAGAGTAGAACAAACGGATTTCACATGTTTGCTATTGTTTGGTTCAATACTGTATACATTGTCGTCATTTTGTTCTTTAAATTTTTCTAACGTATCGACATTTTGTGAATTGTTTGGAACTTCTGTTTCTGAATTATTAATTTTTACATTCTCAATGTCACTTTTAGTAGCTTTCTCATTAACATTAGTTACGTCTTTATCAATAAAACAAGCATTTTCTTTTATTGACTCTGTTTCTGCTAAATTTACTTCTAGTTTATTTATATCTTTATGCAATAAATCAACTGGCTTACTTTGACATTCTAGTTTCTCTTCTAAATTTTGACTACTTAATTCAGACTGAGATTCGAATTCATAACATTGGCTAATAGTTTTATCACATTTTACATTTTCGTTACTTTTATTTATTTCTTTTATGCAAGCGTCTGATATCTCAGTTAAGGTTTTATTAGATGCACTTGACGTGATGTCATCCGATTTAGTATTATCGCAATCTCCATTAATAGATATATTAATAGGTTCAGGTTTACGTGTTTCATTGTTTATTTTGTCTTGTTCGAAAACTTCTTCATCTTTATCAGAAATAACAGTTGTTTGTGCTGGTGTGATGTTCTCGTCGCTATTAGATACAGAATCATTTGAAAAATTTTCAATTATGTTATTAGCAAACTTTTCGTTAAAAGATTCTTGCTCAACAGCTGACATCTTACTTTGAATATCGTCTATGGTAGTCGTTTCCGCATCCAAAATCAATTGCATTGTTTTTTCTTGTAATTACATGACAACTAAGGATTGCTGTTATTAAGGAGTGTTGATTCTGAAAATGAGAAAAAAAATTGTTTAATTTTCATATACCTACTTAATATTATTCATTAATTGTTGTTATTGATAAAATACTAGTTCACGAATTTACGCTTAGCGTATACAAATCTTCCTATGGTGGGCTTGACGATTCAAGAAACTGAATGTAGTACGTACTATAATAAATAAGAATGAAAATAACGCCTATATTAGCAAGTACCTACTACTTCACTTCACCTGGCGTTTCCATATTTTCAAGAAATATTTTAATTAAAATTATAATAATCTAAAAATACTAAATTATAATAAAAAGTAAAACACAATTTGCTAACAGAAATATAGCGGTACAAACGTAACAAATATAAAACGCGAATTAATTAAGACAATAATTCTCGGTCGACACAACAAAATCCAACGAAAAGGGGATTGAAAAAATTAAACAGATCAGGTGATAGTTGAATTTATAACCAAAATCATAATTTTTAGTTGCGTGATTATCTTTATCCGGATCGATATTAATTTAAAAGTATATCAGTAAAATAATATCTTCTACTACCACCTACATTGACCGTACACGTTGTACGTGTGTAAATGTAAGCAGGTTATAAATATTAACAAGATTAAATAATTAACTAAACATGTACAAATATATATCATAAAATAAATCATAGTCTGTTAAAAACAAAAAAAAATATATCAATCGGTGAAATTAATAAGACAAACAGTACAATAATTTTATCAGGCAGGTAACATAGGTTCTATACCATATTATGGTAAATAGTGGTGACGTATACTCTACTAATAAAATAACTTTTTAAAGAATCGTTCGTTCTCATTAAAATACACATTCATTAGTAATAAACATTAAAACGCCAAAATTTGTGAAAATAATAATAATAATCTTTATTTCCACAAATGGGCGTGAACATAATATTGTCCTTTTATAATGTTTACAATTTTACCATTAGTTTCAATTAACATGAAGGATTTAAGCGCAGCGCATAGATTTATAACTCAAAAATAAACAATACGTCAAAGCAATAAAATCAAAATGGCCGACTCTATGTTGAGTCGAATATCGGAATTTATTCCTATTATATTAAGGTAAATAGTGAGTAATGATGTACCTATACTTTACTAACAAAATAACTTTTAAAAAACGTAAATTTTTTATTTTATTTTAATTGGAATGTTGAAAATTTAACTTCTCATAAAATGGTTTTATATCATAACACATTTAGTAATAAACATTAAAACGCGAAAATGAGTCAAAATAATATGAAGAATCTTTATTTCTTTCTACAAATGTGCGTGAATATACGTAATATTATCCTATTATAATATTTCCAATTTTAACATTAGTTTCAATTAAAATGAAGTATTTAAGGGCATAAATAGTTTCATATCTCAATAATAAACAATACGTCAAAGGCATAAAAATTCAAAATGGCCGACGGTCTGTTGAGCCGAATACCGGAATTAATTCCGCTTGGTATAGAGCTGTACCGCTGGACGACGAAGAAAATGGGGAACGCATGTACAGACTACAGACAGCTTTCACATTATCGCTTCGGTCACCAATCGAACGTTGGGAGAATGAAAGAGATAGTGAAATAACCAGAACTCTGTCTTTAACGACAAAAAATAAGGTGAAGGTGGAAGTCGAACAGTATTATTCATAGAGTAATGTGTTATCGAACGGAAAAATGTAATGCCAGACGAAAAGGCCAGCATAAGCAATGATGATGATAGTTGTAGTGAAAATATTGGAAACGTAAACATTTAAGTAAAGATTTCATTCATGCATTTATGTAAAACACACATAATAATAATATTACATACATAATAATACCAACATACATCACACACACACACATTTATGTATACATATATATTTGTATATATATATATATATACATACATATATATATATATAATATGTATACAAATATATGTATACATATACAAACATTATATATATACATACATACACACATATACATACATACATACACGACCTACCCACAAATACAATGAATCAAAATTAATAACAAAAACGACAGATTGTGTAATTTTTTATGATTTTAAAATAAATTGAAATATAACGAACGTCAATAAAAATAAAACAAATTTTTTATTAATAAATTTATACGCTAAAAGAAGATAAATCTCTTGAATAATAATTATTCATATACTTCGCAATATAATATACCTCGAAATTAGAAGCTTTACTTTATAAATGTCATTACAATTATACAAAGAGAAATTAATTTAAATTACCTACCTATATTTTAATGATAAGAGAATCCAGAAGTAAAAGAGTGATTAAGAAGATATTAATACACACGATACAAGCGACCCGCAACACGGTTTTAGCGGCACTGACAGTAAGCAGAACGAGTGAGAAGAAAATGGCGGACGTAATGAAACGCGCATTGTATGCGCACAGAGTAAGAGGTATACAGAGATTCTATTGCCGCCCTAAATTGCTCGGCATATCTGCGACAGCACTAAACGTTTAGGCAGTTTACCGTATGAGTGACAAGGATAGAGAGCTTAAAATAATAAGCTGCGCCGTGTAGTGTTTCATGTCTTTATTACTCTATGTCGATAGTAACATGTAAAGTACCTAACTGTAGGTATCAACTCCGGTCACATTACTGCAGTTGTAGTCACATTCTCTTGTGTTCTACTTTTGCTAATGATTCTTGATAATTAGTTTCGTTTTTACTTTACTTGTCGTGAAATAATTTTATGAACCATAATTTGCTCATCTTTAAAACTAGTTACATTAAAATACGAACTTACTAATGAATAAAGATAAGTACCGAAAAACCAACTTCTTAAATACATAGAAAAAATGTAGTATGTAGTAGAGATTAAAAGTAGATTTTTGTATGATGTATAGTATTAATCTAGGTTATCGAATTCATGCGACGTTGCCACTTTTACATGAAACGCATTTGGAGTCGTATAACCATGAGCGATGAGCGTGAGTAGGCCGCTTGGCTTGACGGCGATCGTGCCCGAAGTTAGCCGAAGCCGAAACGATCGAGCTCGAACTGTGCATGTCAGCAGCTTTATACGTCATGATCATGATTAAAATAGACAAATAATTTTAGTCTTTTATGACAAAGATACAATATATTTAATGCTGTATGTTTTTGTTTGTAAAAAAATATAAATAAACCTTTAATATTGCACCTAATAAATTGAATAGGTATTATTAAAAGAATCCATTCACGATTAAACGTAGGTAGGCAATTGAAATAAATGACTGAATTTCGTTGACGTTTCTTCCCAACTTGGAGAAACCAACGTATACCAGCCGTAAACTAATGACGATGATAAAGCTCTTCAATTTGTATGAAGATAGTTTTTAGAAATGGTTCGCGAACATGTGTAGTTCAGATTTTAGAATATAGTGATATAAATGTTACAAGTATTATCAATTGTTTTATAAATCGGTATCACATTGAGGATCCTGTTAAATAATATAATACCTATGCAAAATAATTAATAATGCCTTCATAGGTACTATGATCAACACACACACACAACAAACAGTAACGAGTGTGGTAGAATATTGAGCTTATCGGCAGGCATTAAAAGTAGAAGTAGGTAAAGAATAATTTTAGGCGGTAATATACCTACTAAGGCAATCTTAAAAGTTTTGCGTATTAAGTAGATAGGTAATTTTGCAAGATCTTAGAGAAGTAAAAATTTACTAAAACAACAATTATCATCCATACTTATCAAGGACAAACGGTCTGAATGTGCACTGAGATATGGATATATTATCAAGAGTGAAAGGGTCAAAGAATTCTATGTTGGTTGCGTCACGAACCATGACGCTAAATGCACGACAAAACAAAATGGCGGATGGCACATATTACTATAGAATTGACGGTTAGTATGGAAATCTAATAAATTAGGTAGGTACCTATAAAACTGAAGAACACACATATTTGTTTATTTTTTGGATTATTATTTACCTATATGTTATATACGCAAAAATCTGAAAATCCTGCATAAATAAAAATCAGAAGCGTTGAAAATCTAATTAATTACTAGTCTTTATTAGATCAAAATCTCTACAGAATGAAGACAAAATCGCAACAAAAGGAGAAGTTCGGCAGCGCTGCTCAATACTTTGTTTCGTTTGGTGTTCTTATTCGTAATAAACCTGTACTGTACTGTACGCACGCACACAAATGTAACTAGAACAATTTGATCTCAATGCCATGCGCACTACTACATTCATTCGTATTTTAGTCTGGCATTAGTAGCAGAGTTCGGCTGGGGTTATGAGTTGTGAGTGTAGGATATGGTGGGAGATCTGTCAATGAAAGAATGAAGAATCCAATCTGGCGTAGGCAATATTACTACAAATTTACTTTGGACTCTGCTTGAAATACGTATGTTGTATGAGAATAATATTACCTATGAATATGATGATGATGATAATATTAAGTTCTTATTTCTGTCTTGTTATGGACATTGTATTTTTTTAAATGAATAGTTTGAAATATTATGTACTTACTGGACTATACCTACGTATAAATTGTTACAAGAATATTTACTTAGAGGGTAATTTGTAATTTGAAAAAAAAACATCCTTGCAGTTAATTCTTTTTTAAACACCATCGTGGGTAGATATTCTTTTTTAATTAGGATCCACTTACATCTAAAATGCAACTATATATAAGAAAATTAGAAATGTTTGATTATAATACTAGCTATTAAATACAAATAAACATTACTCTTTCTAGAACTTGAAATATGTGGTGGTTGCTACTAGAGAAATAAATTAAAGCGTTTGTTTTAATCACAAGTGGGTAAGTTAGTGAAATGGAGAATCTTGATTTTAGTTCTACCTTATCTTAATAACCGCTTAAGCGCGAAAAAAATAAAATGATGGATCTTACCGATATCCAGAAATTGATGATATTAATATGCTCAAACTATTTTGAGTAGGTAGTATTGTAGTTCCAGATGTAATGGGTTGCAGATTTACAGTACGTTGACCGCGAGGCTAACCGCTCAACGGAGGGAGAGTTATCGAATGTACACACAAGAGAGATCAGAGACCTCGGTGCGGTCGACGGTCGTTTCGCGCAGACGGGTGGTGTACGCCATTTTGTAGTAGTATTTCATGAGTTAAAGTGAGATAGTGTTATACGACTCTCTCGCTTATTTTCGCGTAGGAGTTAAAGATGTGATTGTTCTGTTCTTTATTTTGATACTTCTCTTCCTAGCAAGATTAACCTCAAATTATAGGTATATATTAATTTTGTTTTTTATATTAGATTTGATCGATTCCATATATTTCAAGATGATAACAATATTTACATGGGTCACATAATAATCAGCACATGAAAAAATGATGCTGCATAAAGTTAATAGTAAAGGTATTATTACTAAGTATAAATGTAAATACGCAAATTTTTAATACAAAATAATACGTACACCTTAGTGTTTGCAAAACTGTTTTTGCTGTGCATGTGCATTTTAGTTAAGTCACAAACACAAAGGTGAAACCATAGGTGAAACAAATTTTTTATATTTGAGTTTCTGTGTTACTTTTTGTGTAATAGTTATAAAAAGACCTTTAAAATATTGTTTAATAGCTACGTCACATTAATCCTCCTACTATCTCGTTACCAATGGCATCTTCCGTAAAAATTGTTCAACTATAAAACTCTACCTATTCAAGGTCAAATCGTGTTTCTTTAATCAGCCACGCGATGGCAGTGTTACTAAATAAAATATAATATTTTGTTATGAATTCGCTTTGTAGTAGCGGGTAGCGGAATTAAGAGAATCCACCACCACAACTTTAGTAATCCTATGCCACCACATCATATAATGGTGTTGTCAGAGGCGTCTGAGGAAAAAGAAACAAGAGAAGAGCACCTTCCTGAGCATAACTCAAAATAATATAAAATTGCGGTTGCCAAAACGCTTGCCAAGCTTGGCAACCTACTTATATCAAATGTTTAGCATTTGACTTTAGAGGCTACACTTATTGAATGATGATATTTTAAATAAGTACCTACCTATCACAATAGCCATACGCCAGTGTCATTTATTGCCCTGGCCATTGTCAATAATTTATGAAATAAACGCATTCCTACCACGCTTGCGATTTCGTTGTGTGTGGGTGCTCAAGGTTAGCTCCATATTAATATACCTACTTTGAGAGATATTTCACGCGCGAAAACATATTATATCTTTATTATATACACATACATACACACGCATATATACACATATATTATATATATATATATAAAAGGAAGACCGATAATGATAACTGATAACTCCGGGTCCTGTCCGATCGTCATACGAGTACATATACCTACGTAAATCGTAGGTGTTTGTCTTTGTTGCCTGTCACCCAGAGGGGTGGGAGACTACGGACTTCCGTTTGGCACGATCCCGAGACGCCTACCTATCTCGCTTCCTGTACGTTCATATATCTACGCATACGAGTTCGTCGGCTTCGCGTAATTCTAATCTGGCCCATTTTCAATATATCGCCGATTTGGTCGATAACCCTTCGTCTTGGGCTAGGGCGTCCCTTTTCTACTCTGCCGGTAACATCTGAAATATAAATTTGTTTTGTCACTCTTTCCTCGTTCATTCTTACTACATGACCAAACCTCCGAGGCTTTCTTATTCCTGGTGACAACATCATCTTTCATACCAAATTTTATTCTTATCACACAATTCTATCACCCTGCCATTCAGATTCAGCATACTCCTTAAAGACCGCATTTCTATAACATTTATTTTATTTTCGTGTTTCTTCTGCCACACCCAACGTTCACTATCATACATAGGGTTTAACATAGCATTATGAATTACCATACGTGCCTTTTTTGACACATTCTGAATCTTTATAATAGAGTGTAGAGCCCCATTCACTCTATTTCCGTATTTATTATTAGTAGTGCAAGGGAATAAAAGAGACAAGTACCGAGGTAAAATTGTGGACAAAACTTGTGTTGTTTTACTTATTATAAGCCAGTAGTTGACCACAATCCCACTTGGTGGTAAGTGGTGATGCAGCCATATGGTCGCCACACACGGCCAGTTCAACTGATCATTCCAACTGATCAGTTGAAACTAAAACTGTTGATAATTTTTTAAATATTGGATTTTCGATATGTCGATAAATAAGCTTATATAAAAAAGTCCGACATTGATTTATTTATATATCGAAAATTCAAGATTTTAAAAAATATCAACAGTTTTAGTTTGAACTGATCAGTTGGAATGATCAGTTGAACTGGCCGTGTGTAGAGTTTATTAGATTGTAAATCGCACTGTTTTAGCGTAACCAACACTCTTGCCTTGAAGACGCCCAGATTGTATTCGGACGGTTAGATAGACGCAGCAATTTATTCCACTCCTTTGCTGTACACATTAAAAAAAAATCGAAGCAAACCGTTTGGTTCTAATGCGTGAAATATCGACAACAAAGGGTTGAAGATCCGTCGACAACCTATTCGTTCGATGGTGGAAAGGAAAGAGAGAGAGAGAGAGAGGAATTAAAGCATATAATTCCTACGCACACTCACCGAAATGCATCCTTTAGAATACCGAGACGCTGACAAGGTTGGTTTCAACAAAATTAAGGTCACCAATGAGCCTCTTAGCACGTCTCTCCACTGAGTCCAACGCTGCCATGTGGCATTTTGCAGCATCAGCCAATATGTGACAGCAGTACTCCATGCAAGACCGGACTCGCCTTTTATATAAGGTAAGAAGCTGCCCCGGCATGAAGTACCACCGCACTCTTGCAAGGACACCAAGTTTCCTTTCGATTGCTTTGGCTCTGAACTTAATGAACCACCCATGGTTGAGGTTCGAAGAAAATTCAACCCCTTACAACTGAAGGCGGTCAGTGTACTCTAAGGATACATTCCGTAAAGTAGGAGCCTGGGTGAGAGGGCTCCTTTTAGTGGTGAAAATACACGCTTGTGTTTTGGAAGCGTTGAATCTCACGAGATTGGCGTCACCCCATTCGGAGACTGCCTGTATTGTGAGATTCACTTGCCCAATCATAGCTTCTCTTTCGGACTTCTAGTAGTGAAATATTGTTTTTAGTGGCTGGTGTTTGTTCTAGAAGTTCAATAAAATTAAGTTTCAGTTAATGGCAAGATGATTACTCAACCATTAAACCACTTACACGTTTCGAAATATACTTTTACTTCATTTCAGGAGTATTTACTTTTACTGTGTAGGCAACAATGATTGAACAAGGACAAACGTGCTACTGCCTTTTAAATGAATATTGTGAATCCAGAATCTTCTTTTACTTGAAATTTTATTTTCGTATTCCTCTCCCAATAAGCAAGCTATTACAACAGTTTTCCTTAGTTTAATCAATGTCACTGTACCTTTTCACACTAGTGGTTAGAAAAACTGCATTAGCTGTTGCCATAAATATTTGCGTACGGTGCGTATGTTCAATATGCTGATAAATTTGCGTTCACCTTTATAGCATCCATGTTCACAGGGGGAATTGAGGTGTTTGACGTCCCGATTTCATGGTTAGCTAGCTACCTTCAGTTTTTGAACATAATAGCTCGTTCTGCGTCGATCGGACTAAAAATTAATCCCTGTCGAGACACGTTCACTTTATTGCGTGACTAATTCTAATGTGCTACAATTAGGATTTCCAGATGGTCGATATTCGTCTGGATTCTCGCGACATTTTAACCCATCAATCCCAATAAAAATCCCATGCAGTCGCATGCACCCGGCAAATCCCGAGCGGTCACATGCGACCGCACCCACTCGCAGCACTTAAGATCATTAAAACTTGTGTTTAGAGACTAC